ATCCGCCGCGTGCGGGTTTTCCCCTGGTTTTGCCCCCGTCGCGACGATGCTAAATAGCAGAAACATAATTTCGTGAGTGCAGGGGAATTGCTTTATCGCTCGGAATAATGGCCCTGTATTCACGGTCGGCCCTCTCATAACTCTCCTCCTTTCCATTGCACTTTTCGGAGATTACACGTGGCGTCGATTCAACAACGATCGAAGCCTCGAGCCCTCCCCGTTTTGCATCGTTGAATTTTCTTTCATCGCGAAAATTATGTTTTCGTGTAATTTTTTTTCGCGACTGAAGAATGGGGGGAAAAGATGAAAGATAAAAGAGAAAGGAGAAAAAGAGGTGAGAAGAAACGTTGTGAAATGAAAATGAGAAAATGGTGGAATAAGAAGAAGAAGAAGAATTTTGAAAGATTATTTCTTCCTGTCTTACAATAAAATTTCATTGTTCAAGGAGGAATATTTTCGAAGAGAAAGTTTAAATTGCAAAATTAATTTGTATAGGAGATGAATATTAAGTAATATCTCTTAAAAATTTAATAAGAAAAGACGGATATCTTTCTCTGATTTGCAAGCATATTAAATCATCAACTAATAATTACTAATATTATATCTAACATTCCTAATAGAAAACATTGAAGCATAAATAAGAGACACATCATCCCTTCGCAAAACACCAAAAATATCCAAGAAAGATCATAAGATAAAATTTTGTTAATTTTGTAAGATAACGTTTGTCCAATTTAATTCTTCCCAAACAAGAAATATTCCTTCCACGTTTCGAAGAAACATTTAAATCTTATCAATTCCTGATCGCCATTTACTTATACATCATTGATTCATTAATCAAGACGTGGCAAGACTAATCGTTGGTCGGTCCAATTAGTAACAATTACCCATCAATTCGAATATTTTATCAGGATAATTACGCCTCGTAATAAAAGTCTCATCCAGGAGGAAGAGGGAGGCAGAGAGGACAATCAGCGAGACGATCTGGACGATCTGGTTGGATCGGCTCGTCTCCGACCGGCAGAAACGGGTAATTAAAAGCATTGTCAGGGTACAAAAGCACGGAGGAAGGGTTACAATCGGCGGACGGGGGGACGAAAAGAGGGACGGGAGGAAGAAACGCAAGAGGAGACACGATGGACGCTCAGGCTTCCGTGGCGGGCGGACCGATTCCTAATTACAAAGTGCGATCTAAATCAATCTTGATTACACACGGTGGGACACTGTGTCGACAATATACGTAATACAAAAAAGAATATAGAAGATTGCGTGTTATTTAATACAATCGTCCAATAATTATAAACTAAAGGCAAAAAACAATAAGGATCGATGATGATACATTATAGAAAGAAAGAATTTCTATTATTCTATTTTAATTATATTTTTATCTCCTTTTTTAAAAAAATTATAAATTTCTATAAAAATTCCAATTCTCAAGTTTACTTTAACCAGAGTTAATACCAGATTAAAATCGATCGATTAAAAAATTGCAGGGGATTATTTTAAATCGTCGAGTGAACGACAGTATTCTTCGTTTCGTTATCATTATAAACATGATAAGAAAAGAGAGAAACTCATCGTTCTCATATCTCGGCAATCACGGGAACCCCTTTTCGGATTCCAGGAACGCGATTGATCCGGGGATGGCGCCGATAGCGTCGATTGAATTCGACCGAAACGGGCAATTAAAACAGCGCCGTTGGAATCCGTTCTGGATTCCGCTCTGCTGAAAAAGACAGAAGGGGTGAAGAAGTTGAGAAACGAAGGGAAACAGGGACAGAAGAGGTGACACGCGCGGATCCATGGATGCCTGCCTGTCCTCGTCCCGGCGGCGCATCAAGGCGAGACTATCCTCCTCCTCCTCCTCCTCCTCCTCTTCTTCTTCTTGAGGGAAACAATTACTCCGTGACCGAGTGCATAAATAAGGAGGAAGAGTAACGGCCAAACAGCGGAGGCTACAATGCCTCCTCTGACTGATTTGCATCGATGAGATGCGCCAACAGCCTCTCTTTCTCTCTGCGCTCGGTGATCTTTCGTTCTTGGAAGAATCGGCGCGATTAAGAGGATCAAGAGGACTCTCCTTTTGATTTGTTTAAGGACGGAAAAGATACTCCACGAGTCTTCGTATTATTTCAATTTTTTTATCATCCAAATTTTCACTCTTAAAATTTAAACGAGATGATTTTATTAATTGTAAAATGTCAATTCCAAAAGTCAAGATTTTTATGAATTTTCTTATATAGGATATTGTGTGAGGATAATTATAGAATATAATTAAAAGATTCTGGCATTCGTTTAGAATTTAAATAAATCATTTAATCGTTTTAAATATAATGATAAAATTGTTTTGGCGTATAACTAAATAAAGATAAATAGTAAATAGACAAGAAAAGTATACTCTATTCCGACATAAATGGAAACTGTATGGAAGTTATTCCTTTATATTCTAGTATTCTCATGGATAGTACAGTTAAGGGTTGGCTGAGTTTATTCACCGCCGCGACTTTTTATCCGCGGAAAAGGGAGAGGAAACGTGTGTCAAGGGGTGGCCTGTGACTGTCGGCGGGTATTTCGAAGAAAGGAGGGCCGGGGGTTGGCAAATACGAAGGACGCATTCAGATCAGTCTCCTCCGAAGGAGAACGAGGGGAGGTATAGAAAAGGTTTTCGGGACGCGTCAGCAAGAAACATCAAAGTCCGTGCCATTTCCTCCGGCCGAATACAAATGAAATGTTCTACGTACTGGCGATTGTATCGTTTTCTTGTCGATACATACCAATTTGCACGAGAGATACGCTTGTTCGATAAAAATAAAAAAAAAAGGGAAAAAGAAAAGACTGTGTGTTGCCTGAATGAACAAGAATTGAAGCAAGAATTGTATAATGCAAAAATTGAATTTCAGAAGAGGGCTTGTGAAATATTACAAGTGTTAGGCTTCGTGCGATTGCTTCTTTTCTATTTTAATTTAATATGAGCGAAGAAAGAAATTATATAAATGGGAAAATTGAATTTTAAGAAGAGAAGAAAATGAAATATATCATAAATATTAATTGTGCGATTACTTTTTTATCTTAAATTTAATTATATTTAAATTATGTGGAATTTTGAAGAACAGCGAGAAGAATAATATCCCCTAATCGAATAATATTTTTTAAAATTTCTTAAAACCCATTTTATAATTGTATACTAAAGAATCTTTTGTTTTAATAATCAACAAATGAAAATCCAATTTTCTTTAAATCGGCATTAATTTAATTAACATTTTAATAATAATAATAATCTTCCGTTTCTTTGTACGCGTGAAAAAAAGAATCAAGCGCTTTAGAATTAAAACGAAAGGATCGATAGAAGCGTAAAAGACGGTTGATAAAATAAATACCGAAGGAAGAGAAGGGAGAAGTGCATGTAAACGACGCGACCGTGGAATCGCGAAATACACCGGCCATAATACGCGAGACAGAAAATAGCGGCAATACTCTTGAGTGGCTGGAATGGTGGCCTGGGGGACCTACGGGGATAAGGATTTGCTCCAAGGGGAAATACTCGTGCGAGTGGCACATGCGGGAATGCATATGCAGGGAACAGCGAGCGCAGGTACGTCCATTTATTGGCGCTTCCAGGGTTCTCCGTGGAAAATCTTAAATCTCCCTCTTACCATTCTTAAAAAAATCTTTACAAAATATCCCTTTGAAATAATCTTTTACCTTCTTACTTAAAAGAATAATATTCGTTACTAATCAAATTACACAACCATTACACGATAGAAAAATTCGCTATAAACCCGTCACATGAAATTCTTGAATTCATTACGACGATCGAAATCTCTTATACCGCAATCTGTATTTTTGAATAATTCCTCGAAAACGT